CACACATACATACATACATACATACATGCATGCATTCATACGCACATGCATACATACATGCATACATACATACATACATGCATGCATACGCACATACACATTTGCACATGCATACATTCGTGTATCCAGGCATAGTACATGCATCCATAGATGCATACACACTTATAACTTTGCATATACAAATACACAAATACGTATACATACACACATACATGCATACACACATACATGCAACCATGCATACATGCACACATGCATGCATGCATAACTAAATGCACACATACACACATACGTACATACATGCGTGCATACACACATACATATATGCATACATATACACACATACATACATGCAGACAAATATACATGCACACATACACATAAACATGTACACATGCACGTACACGCATACACACACATATGTGTATCTATATACATATGCATACACATCTATATATGTGTACAAGTTTTCACACATACATGCATGCATACACATATGCATACATACATGCACACGCATGCAAACATTCATACATACGTACATACATACATACGTGCGTGCGTGTGTGCGTGCACGTATATATATATATATAGACATATACATGCATGCATGCATGCATACATACACACATACATACGTGCATGCATGCATGCATGCATGCATGTGTGTACATAGGCACGTCTGTATGTCTGCATACAGTGAAAACGTGTAGTAAGGACGCGTGGTAAGGACGCAAGACCCTTGGAGGCCGAAGTTGAAGTATTCTGGGCGGCAGGCGGCCAAACCCCCAGGGAACTTGAGAAACTGGCATGCGAAAATTGCTAGGGACGGGCCGCAGAGGCTGAGGCAGGCAAGGATCCAAGGGTACCCTTGAAAAAATCGTTTGTCTTTACTATGCGCGTTGACTGTATATGTACATGCCGCCGCGCCGTTGCTCTCGACGCGCTCAGGTGTACGACGTCGACACCACGGCAAACCCACGGCAAACCCTGCGCACCGCGTCCCAAGGAGGCGACGCTGGCAACGCGGCAAGCCCACGGCGAACCCACCGGAGGCGGAGGAGGAGGAGGAGGAGGAAAAGTAGAAGGAGGAGGAGAAGCAGAAGGCGGAGGAGGAAGAGGAGAGGGACGAGGAGGAGGAGGAGGAGGAGGAGGAGAAGGAGGAAAAGGAAAAGGAGGAGGAAGGAGGAGGAGGAGGGAGGAGATGGAGGAGGAGGAGGAGGGGGGGGGAGGAGCATTGCAAGCGCGTCTGGAGAGCGGCGTTTGCCCTAGTGGTCGCGGCGCCCTCCCCGAGGCGCAAGGCCGCGCGTCGGCACGCACGGCGCGGCGACGTCTAAACGCCTGCGCCGCGCCGCGCGCCGCGCCCTCGCACGGGAGCCCCCTTTTCAGCCCCCGGCCGCGAAGCGCCAGAGGCGCGGCTGTCTTTGCGCCCCCCACGTGGATGCTTGGACGTGAGCGCCAACACCAAAACAGGGAGGGGGGGCGTCCTCCAGGGGAGGAGGGTCCTGGATCTTGACGTGGGTGGCAATCCCTCGGCAACCTAGAGAAGCCCGAAGATGACCACCATCACCGAAGATGCCCCCAAGAGGCCCCCAAGAGGCCCCTAAAACTGTCCCCCAGAGGCCCCCGAGAGCGCTTCGAAGAGACCCCAAGAAACATACATGAGGACTCTGACCCACGCCAGCGTCGCCGTCGTCGTCGCCGCCGCCGCCGTTGTCGTCGTTCCCCTTCAGGGTCGGCGGCACCGGCCGCAAGGCCGTCGCAACATTACCATCATCACCGAGATCGGGATAATCCTCCCTCGGTGGGAGCACACCGCCCCTACAGGTGCTGGTGCCAACCTCCAGGCCTCCGACCTGCTGGCGACCTCCACGAGCTCTGCCCCAAGCCCGCCCCCAGAACCACTCCCCCGCGCACCTCCCCAAGGGCCCGTCCCGGCGCGCCCAGCCGTGGCCACGAGGACCCCCGAGGGCGCCCAGAACTCACCCACCCACCCACCCACCCACCCACACACACACACACACACGCCCACACACACACACACACACCCTCACACACCCACACACAACAACAACAACAACAACAACAACAACAACAACAACAACAATCATTTAAGACGTGGGGACACTCCGTTCTCACCAGTGCCAGGGTTTTCATAGGAGGCGGGCAATACCCCCACTTTGTGGGGGGGCCGGTTCAAGCTCTACCAAATTTCCAAACGACTCTTCGCCACCACCCACACCCAGCTTCCCGCCCTATGACGTTCGGACACTTCACTTCGTGGCATGCGGACGACCGTGGCTACTATTCAGGGCCCCGCGGCCGACGACGACGGCGTGCGCGCGCGAAGAAAAAACGAATGTGTCCCGCATGGTATTATTTGACAGGGATGATGGCCCTGGCAGGTGCGCAACCGTTGTTGCAGAAGTTCGAAAAAGTTGCTCGCAAAAGCCCGTTTGACAGAAATGTTTAAAAAGTGTTGGGTTTCCTACGAATCCGCAAGAGCGCGCGGGATGAACTTTCGACAATTTTTTTGTTGAAAAACTATTGGTTTTTTGATGTTTTTATGTTAAAATCGCTACGAAAACTAAGGTTTTGGAAGGATTTCGTCTTGCGCGCGCGAATGTCCACTTTACCTTATTTTTTGCAAGGGATTCTTGAAATTTGATTATATTAGAACAAGAAATGTCATTTTATAGTGTTTTTTGCAAGGGAAAGCGGATTACAACAAAACAACCGGATCTTGATCACATCGTTTTACCTGAGGCTTCCTCACGAAAATGATGAAAATGTAGCTGCGGCCTAGGCGGCGCAGGGGGGGCGCGCACCAGGGGGCCCAACAATAATTATTCTTTAGAATAAATAATGTTCAACAACAACAGCAGCAACAGCAACAACAACAACAACAACAACAACAACAACAACAACAACAACAACAACAACAACAACAACAACAACAACAACAACAACAAACATTTAAGACTGTTCGCCCTTATCTGCTCGAGTGTCCAATAACGCGTATTTCCCAAACCCTCGATACCCGCCCTCTTCGTCTTCGATCGAACCCCTTTTGGGGGTATACCTTTCTTCCCTGCAGGCCGGGCCCCGGCAAGCGGCGGGGCGGCCGCGGACCGTCGGCCTGGCCAGCGGCAGCGCTGATCGGCGGGGCGGCCGCGGACCGTCGACCCGACCCCAAGAGGGACGGACAGGGGACCGACCACGACGACGACGACGACGTCGAAGACGACGGCGACGACGACGCGAAAGCGAGAGCGAGAGAGAACGACAGCAGGGCCACGAAGGGCACGAAGTAGGGCACGAAGGGCGACAGCGGGGACACGAAGGGAATGCGTATGGGGCCACGAAGAGCGCGAACGAGCGGGGGCCACGAAGTGCAGATAATGCGGGGCCACAGAAGGCAACATGGGGCCACTGAGGGTAGCAACTGGGCCACGTAGGACAGTGAGGGGGACACAAATGGCGACAGCGGGGCCACGAAGGGCATGCACATGGGGCCACAACGGGCGCGACTCCTGGGTGCCTGGGTGTCGGGAGCGCGGCGCTTGGGCAAATTGCAAGAAATTCCAACGCAAGGCCATTCTTCAGTAAGTTGCAAGCAAGTCTCCAGCGAGAGCGCGACTCCAGAGCGCCGGGAGAGCGATTCCTGAATAAATTGTAAGGAGGTCCCAAGCGAGAGCGCGATTCCTGAATAAAATGCGAGGAAGTCTCGGGCGGGAGCGGGGGTCCTGGCTAAATTGTAAGGAAGTCTCCAGCGGGAGCCGTTGTTGTTGTAACCCGGGGGCCAGGGGCCCAGTTTGAGCAGGAAGACTTTCCTTGTCAAAAAACAGGGTGCGAGCGTCGAGGGGCACACTTTGATTGAGAAAAACAGTATGCACTGGTGGGGGGGGGATCAACAATAATTATTCTTCAGAAATGAGAATTCAACAACAACAACAACAACAACAACAACAACAGCAACAACAACAGCAACAACAACAACAACAACAACAACGACAACGACAACGACAACGACAACGACAACGACAACGACAACGACAACGACAACGACAACGACAACGACAACGACAACGACAACGACAACGACAATGACAACGACAACGACAACGACAACGACAACGACAACGACAACGACAACAACAACAGCAACAGCAACAGCAACAACAACAACAGCAACAACAACAGCAGCAGCAGCAACAACAACAGCAACAACAACAACAACGACAACGACAACGACAACCACAACAACAACAACAACAACAACGACAACGACAACGACAACGACAACCACAACAACAACAACGACAACGACAACGACAACGACAACGACAACGACAAAACGCAGAACCAGGAAGACGCCAGGACGAGTCAAGCTCGGGTGAAGACAGATCGGGGATCTCTGAGATCTGGCGGCTCTGCACGCCCCGAGAGCGCTCTGGAGCGCTCCGACACGGACTTGTCCTCGTCTCGGCCCCTTCCCGAAGAACGCCCCTGCGGGTGGCCTGGTCAGGAGGAGGGCGTCCGGGAGAGAGGGCGCCCGCCGAGCGAGCGAGCGCCCACCCGCGCGGACGAGCACTCGGGCCCCGGGCCTGCAGAGCCGGGGAAGTGCTGCACGCTGCGCGGCGCCCAAAACGAGCCAACGACTCCGAAGAGCGGCTCATCCGGGATCTTCTGACCCGGGTCAATCCAGGCCCGGGTCAGCAGGAAACCCCAAAACTGCAATGCAGGAAACAAAAAGAAACTGCAACGCAGGTCTTCGCAAACCCGGGTCAGCCAGAGGGGGGCTTCGCAGGATCCTGCAGGATCCGGTGCCCTGGCTGACCCCCGTTTGCATTGACCCCCGTCTCTTGAGCCCCGGGAGCGGAGAAGCTGGTTTCTGCCGGCGCGGGAGGGTCATGACGGCAGCGGGGGCCCGGCCGCACGGGAAGGAGCGCCGGGGGTTTGGGGGGGGGCGCCTCGCCCCCGCCCCCCGCGCGCGGCCCTCACAGCTCGGCCGTCCTGGCCGGGCCGGCCGCCTTGAACCTCGATGGAGGGGGAGGAGAGGGAGAGGGAGAGGGAGGAGGAGGAGGAGGAGGAGGAGGAGGAGGAGGAGGAGGAGGAGGAAGAGGAGGAAGAGGGAGGAGGAGGAGGAGGAGGAGGAGGAGGAGGAGGAGGAGGAGGAGGAGGAGGAGGAGGAGGAGGAGGGCTGGCCGCCTGGAGGCGTCTCCCGAGACCCAGTCGTGCTTCTCGTCGTGGAAGCCGTCGCTGCCCTTGAGGTCGCAGCTGTGGCGGAGCACGTGCAGGTTCCAGTGGTAGCACTGCGGGTCGGCCTCGCAGGCCTGGCGGCACGACGAATGATGATGGTGATGATGGTGATGATGATGCTGATGATGCTGATGATACTGATGATGATGATGACGATGATGATGATGATGATGATGATGACGATGACGAGGATGATGATGATGGTGATGATAATGGGGATGATGATGCTGCTGCTGATGATCATGATGATGGGGATGATGATGATGCTGATGATGATGAAGATGATGATGTGGATGATGATGATGATGATGATGATGATGATGATGATGATGATGATGGTAATGAGGAGGAGGATGAGGATAATGGTGATTATGATGATGGTGGTGGTGATGGTGATGGCGATGATGATGATGACGATGATGATGATGATGATGATGGTGGTGGTGACGATGATGATGATGATGAAGATGATGATAATGATGATGATGATGATGATGATGATGATGATGATGGTGGTGGTGGTGGTAGTGGTGTTGGTGGTTATGGCTGTGATGATGACGACGACGATAATGATCACGATGAGCGATGTTAATGATGTTGTTGATTACGATGGTGGCTGAAGTGGTGATTGTGATGTTGATGATGACGATGATGTTGGTGATGATGTTTACTGGTCAATGCTGAGCGGAACGTGATGGTAAGGAGGAGGATGAGGGGGATTGGGAGGATGATTGTGATGATGATAATGTTGGTGGTGATGGTGATGGTGATGGTGATGGTGGTGGTGATGATGATGATGATGATGATGATGATGATCATGACCATGATGAGCGATGAGCGATGTTGATGATGTTGGTGGTGATTTCATAGTAACGATGAGGATGATAATGACGATGGTGGTGGTGATGATTAGTGGTCAACGCTGAACGAAGAATGACGATGATAATGAGGAGGATGGCGATGATGATGATGATGCTGATGAAGATGATGGTGATGATGATGGTAGTGATTATGGTGATGGTGGTGGTGATGGTGAGGATGATGATGATGACCATACTGATGACAGATGGGCGACGGTGATGACGTTGGTGATTGTGAGGATGATGGTGATGCTGCTGATGACGGGTCTGATGATGACGATGGTGGTAGTGATGATTGGCGGGCAATGCTGAACGGTGAACGAACATGATGCTGGTGCTGATGCCGATGCTGCTGCTGATGATGCTTATGAGCAGTGGTGAGAGCGATGCTGCTGCTGCTGATGATGATGCTGGTGATGGCGAGGAGGGAAGAGGCAGAGAGTCGTTAGAGGAGTAGGAAGCCTGGTGGCACGATGTTACGTCGTGGGCCCCCTCGAGCCGGATGTAGTCTCCGTACATCCACGCGCCGTCCTTCACCTAAGAGGCGGCTTCGCACAGGTGGGCAAGGTTTGGAGGACGAAAGGAGGAGGTCGAGGAGGACGAAAGGAGCAGGCCGAGGAGGACGAATAGAAAGGAGGGCGAGGAGGAGGAGGCCGCGGAGGCTGAGGAGGGAGGCGGAATGGAAATGCAAGGACGAGGAGGACGAAAGCAGGAGGACGAGGACCATCTGGCCATTCTGGAGCAGCGCAGCATGCGGCGCAACAAAAAAAGCTGGCAGGACTCCGACCCCATCCCCGGGACCAGTGTTTCATCGTGGGACGATCTTTGACGCCCCTGGGACCCGAAAGCGACCGACCCCCGACGGGCGGGCAATCTGTGACCGATGCCCCCCTCCTTGTCCTGCTTCTCCTCGTCCACGTTCTCGCGGTCATTGCCCTCCTCCTCCTCCTCCTCCTCTTCCTCCTCCACCTCCTCCTCCTCCTCATACTCTTATTCGCCGTTGTCGTCATAGTTGTTGTACTCCTCCTCCTCCTCCTCCTCCTTCTCCTCCTTCCCCTCCTCCTCCTCCTCCTCCTCCTCCTCCTCCTCCTCCTCCTCACATTGCATCTCACCCTTGCCGTCGTTCTCCTCCAGCTCACCATCCTTATCCTCCTTCTCATTTTTCTCCGCCTCATTGCACTCGCCCTAATAATATCTGCCTTCTCAACCCCTGCCTCTTTATCCAAGTCCTCCTCCTTCTCCTCGTCCTTACCACTTTCCTCCTCCTCCTCCTCATCATCATCCTTCTCCCTCTCCTCCTCCTCCTTCTCCTCCTCCTCCTCCTCCTCCTCCCCCTCCGCCTCCCTCTCAGCATCATCCTCATCATCATCACCATCATCAACAACATCATCATCACCGCCATCATCATCATCCTCATCATCCGATCGACATCATCATATGATCATCATCATCAGCAGCATCATTATCAGCATCATCATCATCACCATTATCAGCATCAGCAGCAGAGGCAACATCTGCATCATCATCAGCATCATGATCATCATCGGAACACCATCAGTCTCAGCATTGCCATCACCATCACCATCATCACCATCATCATCATCATCATCATCATCATCATCATCGGCATCATCATAATCATCATCATCAGCATAAGCAGCATCCTTATCATCGTCATCAGCAGCATCATCATCATTGTTATTATCACAAGTCTCACCATCGTCATCCTCACCATAAATATCATGATACCGGAGAAAAACCCCAATCATAATATTTCTTGGGCCGTAGGGCTATGGGGCTATACGGTTATGGGACCATAGGGCTAGGGCTATATGACTATAGGGCTATACAACATAGGGCTGTAGGGCTACAAGGCAATAAGGCTATAGGGCTATAGGCCTACAAGGGCTATAGGATTATAGGGCTATGGGGCGATTGGGCTGTAGGGCATAAGGACTACATATATAGGGCAATAGGGCTATAGGGCTATTAGGGCTATAGGGCTAGGTCTGTAGGTCGATAGGGATATAGGGCTATGAAGCTATAGGGCTATAGGGCGATAGAGCACCCGGGCACCCAGGGGCACCTCCGGGCACCCCTGGGCACCTCCGGGCACCCCCGGGCACCCGGGCACCCCCGGGCACCCGGGCACCCAGGCACCCCCGGGCACCTGGGCACCCAGGCGTGCGGCGAAAATCGGCGGCAAACCTAACCTAACCATATGATTCCGCTAGGACCCCTACAGAGGCAAGCTCTGATTGGGGAATCATCACCATCATTACCATCAGCATAATCCCCATCCTCATCCTCATCCTTATCCTCATTCTCATCATCACCAGCATCACTATCACATATCACACTCATCATCATCCTCATCAACATCATCATCAGCATCATCATAATCATCAGGATTACCATCAACATCATCATCATCATCATCATCATCATCATCATCATCATCATCATCATCATCATCATCTTCATCTTCATCTTCGCCATCACCATAAGACTCCCAATCATAACCATCACCATCATCATCACCACCATCGCCATCATCAGCAGCATCAGCATCAGTACCAGCATCAACACAGCATCAACAGCATCATCATGATCTTTTATCATCATCATCAGCAGCACCACCACAACCATCATCATCATCACCACCATCAGCATCAGCATCACCATCAGCCTCATCCTCATCCTCATCCTCATCTTCATCCTCCTACTCGTCCTCATCCTCATCCTCCTCCTCCTCATCATCCTTTTCCGGATCCTCCTCCTCTCCTCATCATCCTCGTGGCACTGGTTCTCATCCTCATCTCCTCGTGGCCCTGACTCTCCCCCCTCTCTTGTCCTCCTTCTCCTCCTCCTCATCCTTATCCAAGTCCTCCTCCTCATCATCCTCCTCGTCTTCCTCGAAATTCTCCTCCTCCTCCTCCTCATCATTCCCCTCTTCACCATCAGCATGAGCATCATCATCAGCGTCCTCAGCATCCTCATCATCATCATCACCATCATCATCATCATCATCATCATCATCATCATCATCATCATCATCCTCATCCTCATCCTCATCCTCATCCTCATCATCCTCATCCTCATCCTCATCATCAACATCAACATCATTATCTTCCTCACCATCATCATCATCATCATCATCATCATCATCATCAGCAGCATCAGCATCATCATCATCCTCCTCGTCCTCCTCCTCCTCATCATCATCCTTTTTTCAAATTCTCCTCCTCCTCCTCCTGCTCCTCGTGGCCCTGCCTTTCCTCCCACACCCCCTTGTCCTCCTTCTCCCTCTCCTCATCCTCATCATCCTCCTCCTCCCCATCTTCCTCCAAGTCCTCCTCCTCCTCCTTCATCCTTCCCCTCCTCCCCATCAGCAGCAGCAGCATCATCATCAGCATCATCAGTATCATCAGCATCATTAGCATCATCATGATCATCATCATCATCATCATCATCATCATCATCATCAGCATCATCATCATCAGCATCATCCTCCTCACCCTACTCCCCATCGTCATCCTCATCCTCATCCTCATCCTCATCCTCAGTATCAGCATCCGCATCAGCATCAGCATCATAATCATCATCATCAGCATCCTCATCGTCATCAACGTCATCAGCATCACCATCATCATCATCCTCATGCTCCTCATCCTCCTCCTCCTCCTCCTCACCATGAGCATCATCACCATCATCATCAACATCAGCATCATCATCACCAGCATCCTCCTCCTCGTCCTCCTTCTCCTCATCCTCCGGATCCTCATCCATCGTCCCCAACCTCACCCTCATCATCATCCTCATCCTCACCCCCACCCCTCCTACTCCTCCTCCTCCTCCTCCTCCTCGTCCTCCTCACCAGCATCAACATCAGCATCACCATCATCAGCATCATCAGCAGCATCATCATCATCAGCATCATCATCCTCATCCTCATCCTCCCCCTCCTCCTCCTCCACCTCCTCCTCCCCCTCATCCGCGCCAGCATCAGCACCATCCTCGTTAGCATCCTCATCCTTATCCTCATCACCATCATCAGCAGCATCATCATCAATAGCATCCCCTTCATCATCATCCATATCATCATCGTCATCATCATCAGCATCATCATCATCATCAGCATCAGCATCATCATCAGGATAACCATCATCATAACCATCATCATCGACATCATCATCATCAGCATCCTCATCACCATCCTCCTCATCATCAGCATCATCATCACCATCATCAGCATCATCCTCATGATCCTCACTCTCATTATGATCCTCATCATCATCCTCGTCCTCCTGCTCCTCCTCATCGTCAGCATCATCACCATGACCATCATCATCATCATCATCATCATCATCATCAGCATCAGCATCAGCATCAGCATCATCATCTTCGTCCTCCTCCTCCTCCTCATCATTCGCATCATCATCATCAGCAACATCAGCATCAGCATCAGGATGATCACCAACATCAACCTCATCCTCATTCACATCCTCATCCTAATCCTCATCGTCCCCTTCCTCATCATCATGACAATTATCCGCATCAGTATCATCATCAGCATCAGCCTCATCTTCATCCCCATCATTATCCTCAACCCCCTCCTCATCATCAGCATCACCATCACCAGCACCATCGTCATCATCATCTTCATCAGCATCAACATCAGCATTAGCATCAGCATCATCATCAGCAGCATCAGCATCATCATCCGCATAATCATCCTCATCATCATCTGCATTCCCATCCTCATCCTTCTCTTCCCCATCCTCATTATCAGCATCAGCATCAGCAACATCACCATCATCATCATCAACATCATCAGCATCATCGTCCTCATCCTCATCATCATCCTCATACCCATCATCATCCTCATCCTCTTCCTCCTCCTCCTCCTCATCATCATCAGCATCAACATCAGCATCATCATCATCATCACCATCCATATTATGATCCGCATCCTTATCCTCCTGCTGCTCCTTCTCCTCCTCCTCCTCATCACCATCAGCATCCTCATCAGCAAACGCATCATCATAATCCGCATCATCATCATGACTCCTCATCCTCATTCTCATCCTCCCCTCCCTCATCCTCATCCTCATCCTCTGCCCCCTCCCCCCATCATCCTCATCATCATCAGCAACATCAACATCAGCATCATAATCATCATCATCATCATCATCATCATCAGCATCATCATCATCATCACCGTCAGCATCATCATCCTCGTTCCCATCCTTATCTTAATACTCATCCCCATCCTCCTCTTCCCCACCAGCAAGCATCAGCATCAGCATTAGCATTATCAAAAGCATCACCATCATCATCACCAGCATCCGTATCATAATCATCATCCTCATCCTCATCATCCTCCTCATCATCATCGCCATCATCAAGATCAGCATCAGCATCAGCATCATCATCCACATCCTCATCCACATCAGCATGCACATCCTCATCCTCGTCATCATCATCATCGTCAACCCATCCGCATCCAAATCCTCATCCTCATCTTCATCCTCCTC